ACACTGGTATTTTCATTTGTTGTAACATTCTTGATGGTTTCTAGTGTTCTATCTTCACTTGTAGGCAAGTCAAACACTTCTCCACATACCCAGCTACTGACTTCTTCATACCCGGCCACCAGTAGCTCTCCTTCAAATTCTTGTACATATTATCGCTACCTGGGTGCATAGTGTACTTAGACTTATGTGCCTCATCTAGTCCCTTGCCTCTCAAATCACCTAAGTTAGGAATCCACACTCGATTCCCAAATCTGTGTATTCCATCTGACCCGACGGTCAGTGACTTAATTTGCCCAACCATCTTCTCCTTCTTAATGTTTGCTTCAATCAAGGCTTCCTTTTGATCATCCCGGATTTGATCTACCATATCTACCTTTATGCTCATCCACATGGCCCACACTCGAATAGGCTCGACCCTTTCCTTCCTACTTAAAGCGTCAGCCACTACGTTTGTTTTGCCTGAATGGTAATGGATTTCACAATCGTAATCCTTGAGTAGTTCTATCCATCTCCTTTGCCTCATATTCAGTTCTTTCTGATCAAAATGATATTTCAGGCTCTCATGATCCGAATATATCATACAATTTGTACCATACAAGTAGTGTCGCCAAATCTTGAGCGCGTATACTACTGCAGCTAACTCCATATCATGGGTTGGGTACTTCTTCTCGTGCTCCTTTAATTGTCTTGATGCATAAGCAAAAACCTTGCCTCGTTGCATCAGTACACAACCCAGACCCATCTTAGAGGCGTCACTATAAACAACAAAGTCTTCTGTTCCTTCCGGTAAGGCAAGGATTGGCGCGCTACTCAACTTGGTCTTGAGGGTTCGGAAAGCTTCTTCTTGTTTTTCTACCCAATCAAAATTAATTGACTTCTTTGTCAAATTGGTCATAAGCGTTGCTATTTTGAAGAAGTCCTTGATAAACCTTTGGTAATAGCCTGCTAGACCCAGAAAACTTCGGATTTCGGATGCAGATTTTGGCGACTCCCAATCCATGACGGCCTCTATCTTTGCCGGATCCACCTTAATTCCTTTCGAGTTGACCACATGACTGAGAAATTGCACTTCACGTAACCAAAATTCACATTTTAAGAATTTGGCATACAACTTCTCTCTCATCAGTAGTTCCAGAATAGTTCTTAAATGTTTCTCATGTTCTTTTTCGCTTTTCGAATAAATAAGAATGTCGTCGATGAAGACGATGACAAACTTGTCCAGTATGGCCTACATACTCTATTCATCAGGTCTATGAATGTTGTTGGAGCATTTGTCAGTCCAAAGGGCATTACTACAAACTCGTAATGACTATATCGAGTTCTAAAAGAAGTTTTTGGCACATCTTCTTCTCGGACTTTCAACTGGTGGTAACCTGATTTTAAATCAATCTTCGAGAAGTGGCTAGCTCCTTGTAACTGATCAAATAAGTCATCAATTCTTGGCAACGGGTATCTATTCTTGATCGTGAGCTTGTTAAGCTCGCGATAATCAATGCACATTCGTATTGAGTCATCTTTCTAACGTCAATTTGACATTTTATAATATTTCCAACTCCTAATTAAATTGCGCCAACTATTATAACTACAAATACGACACTTTATTCCTTATGAAAGTCCATTAACGTCGATTAATTTACCCTTTATAGCCATGTAAACTCCGTAAACTGATTTAAAGCATTTCGATAGTCATCAATCCTTTTGCAGCACTTTAATCTATTTATTCAATTTAAATTAACTTTAAACCACTCTTTTGCTAGACCGATACATTGTCGTATTCGACAAATTGTACAACCTCTTGTTCATGGTTTCAAATCGTTAAGACTYCGAATATTWTYTTTTTTWTAACCGTACGTTCTTTATTTTGAATCGGAAGATTGTCTATTACCCGATCAACTAATCGGCTTGATAAACACGTACATAAATCTCAAATCACTAGTGTAATATTAATTCAAGAATTATAAGGAGTCTCACATTTGTTTTATAGTTCAATCGAGGCTAAAAACGATACGACTTCGGGTTTAAACCACCGTCGGTTTAACCGTCGCCGTTCAAGGCTATGACTATTAATCGGTAACCTTTAGGCTGCCATTGCAACCAAGTAACCCCGCCAATCAAGACGTTAAGAAGTTTTTACATAAAAATAAGATGTTATCTTGAACATAAAGTATTACCATATCGATGATTGAACGCTTACGAACTCGAATTCTCATCCTCGATTCGTAGTCTCGTCCTTCCCAAGTTCCCCTTCTTCTTTTTTTCTTTCTTTTCACTTGGCTTGAAGCTTTATAGAATAGCTTATATATATATATATATATATATACTCTCTTAATTGGGAAAAAAAGGAAGGTTACATATATATGGAGAATATGTATATAAATTTATTTGATTACTCTCAATTTTTTTTCACCAATTAATAAATTTATTTGATTCTCATTAAAATCACTTCCCACGTTTTATTTTTGAAAAATTTAATGGCATTTCCAAAAATATTCATTAGATATTTTTATATTATTATTATTATTATTATTATTTTATTCATTTAGTTAAAATATAATTAATCTTCAATATTCCATTTATTTCAAATACCCGTATTTTAGAGTATTACACTCAAAGTGGGTTTTGGAGTTAGCTCACCATCGCAGGCTCACATAACCTTTATCCTAACCATTGTAGTAATCCAATTGAAAGTTTTTGATTCATATATCATTATAAACGACATTAACAAGTATAAAAAAAATTGGTTCATAATCTGTAACATCTATTTATACCACTTTTAAAATCAACAAATTCAATATTGCCACAAGTATGGATTATTGAAAATAGTAAGACATGTATTTGGATATTTCCTTTGAACTCAGCAACATTAGAATGACGATGTTCTCTCTCTATTCTCTTGAGGGACAAGGGAACATCTATAATGACCTGTAATTTATGCGAGGAGCTCTTTTTGAGAGGAAGCATCGGTTCTTATCGAAATTTTCCTTTGGGCATTACAATAAGCTTCTTACTTGAACCACCGAGAGCTCATATGATAGATGGTTTGACTGCCCTAACTATGGCAAAATATTTCCAGGATATTAATGAATAAGACGAATTTTTATTTTATTAACAATATCTTCCGTTCTATTTAATTAAGATCTGAACTCATTCCATTTAAGATTAGAATAGACGTAATCAAACATGTTTTTTACATATCTCCTTTTATTTGGGACCCTATTCACCTCTTTGAGCTTCTATTGAATCAGGAAACAACCCAAGACTTTCCGTGTTTGGATTTTTGGTAGAACATAACATTGGTTGTTGTTGTTTATGGTTTATATACGAATATACGGATTTATAAAGAAAACAGTGTACGTTCTTCATGATGGAGTTTACATATGAATGTATCTATACTATATTATAAAGGATCTAACAAAAACTCTTAAAAATCATCTTTTATACATGAAGTATTGCTTATTGATGCATATTACTTAAAATTCAAGATTACAAATAAATTATGCGTAAGTACAACTTATTAAGCTCCATGTTTGAATTCGTGTAATCAACTGTAGATGAATATAATCAAATACAAAATAAACATTTTTTTTGAAATATAAAAAATCTAAAATATAATTAGGATAATTATTGAGTTCTAACAGAATACTTAGTTATTATCTTCATAAAAATTATATTGTTAAATAAAAAATTAATTACTTTGCCATTAAACCTAAATTAAATTATAATAAAAAAATTAAACAAAAAACGAGAAATATATATATATATATATATTTTAATTTTTATGGTATCTTCAAATTTAAATTTTATTAAGAAAAACATTATTGTTTGCTTAAAACCACATAAATTCGTATCATAACATCGACATGGATCAAAAAAAAAAAAAAATGAAACATTGAAATCAAGTCGTTGTATTCCACGACTACCCTTCTAGTGGATTTATAAAGCGAATGATGCAGGTCTTCATGGATGAAACCCAGGAGGGTGTTACATGTATGCTATACTGTTACATCAGTAAGAATACAAAATATCGATCAGGACCGATATTCGATATATCGGTCCAAAATAGCGGTTAACATAATATTTCTTAGAATTATATATATAATATGCATTAATTAGAGTTTAGAAATATAGTTTCAAAATTAAAACATCACATCATCTAAAGTGTTCAAAAACGAGCTAATATAAAAGAAAGAAGAAGACCGTTGTGGAGGCAGATCAATTTCAGACCTAATTTAAGTTACCAAGCCCAAAAAACTAGTCCCATGAAGTAACAAAAACCCAAATATTTAAACCCTAAAAAATCGATATACCGGCCCGATATTTGCATCAAAATATCGCTAAAAATCGGAAAATATCGCCGATAATATCGGGGACGATATTTTGACCGATATTTATGGACCGATATTTTCTCTAGGAGCGATATCCGATAATATATCGCGATATTAACAGCATAGCATGTATGTTTTCAATTAAATTACATGCTCTAAAACTATTTTACCATGCTCAAAGCAATTCATATATCAACTATGTTATGCATAAAAACAACATTTTTAGTGTGGGTGTGAGAACACAAACCGAGACATGGGTTCATTTTCGGAGAGGAGAGAAAAGCCCCTAATTCTAGTAATAGCCGGGTTATGTCGAGATCTCACGAGTCATGATAGCAATACAAAAAACCCATAACCTCCCAAAAATCCAGACAAAGGGGTATCTTGAAAACTTTTACCTTCTTAATTGACGAAATATGAGAAGAAAGGTTGAATCAAGCGTATGACGTCTTCATGGTATCCACTAAATCCCCTCCACACGTAAACAAAGGTGACCCCTTATGTTGTTAGGCACGAAAGACTTGAAGAATGAAGTTGTCGGGTTTTCAAAAGAATGAGATCTTGGATTTTGCCAACCGATCAAATCTAATGGATAATTGGATCAAAGCGGTTTCGATATTATGATTGGTTATTCTTTGGTTCGGATTCAATTGATCCACTATCTTTTATCCGAAATTCAAACCACAATTTCAACCAATTATTTATACACATATACAATAAAAACCAATTATTCCATCTACCACATATACAATAAAAACCAAACCAGGGCAGTATGATCTGGGTAACATGTATGTAAACCTAACCTCTATCTCAAAAAGTAGAGCGATGGTATCCATAAAGACCAACAGCTAGTGATGTATACCATATACGACTTGAAGAATTCGATAGAAGACGTGCCAATGTCATGATGCCCTACTGATGGCCAAAACATAAGCACAATTCCATGCTATAGATTTTGTAAAACACTGAACTAACCTTGTAATTTGGAGCCCTCGTAAGAAAACAAGCTCACCGCATTTCTGTAGCTTAAATCCGCAACATCTTCTTTAGACATATCAAGTAAAGATGCAACATAAGAAAGCACGAACTGGATATTGGCTGGATGATTAAGCATCTGTTTCGGGTGTCCATCATTTGCAATTGAATCCTGTACGTCGACCAAAAAAAGGGATTCTGAATTGTTCACTTTAGGTACTGCATCTGGTGCATCAGTCTCCAGTAAAATCCTATCAGAAGGCACTGCTTTTAGCATTTTTTTTGCCTTGCTTTCTTTCATCGCCATAAGAAACCCCGAAAAGGAAAAATAAGCCCCGAGCTTAGCAAATTCAGGAACCATTTCGGCAGAACCCAAGTACGAGTGCAAGATTACACCTTGAGGAAATGGCCCAATTGATTTCATTATGTCAAGAAGATCTCCGAAAGCACGCACACAATGCACAGAAGCTGGCCTTTTTAGCTCTTTGGCAAGTTGAAGCTGCAAACGGAAGGTTTCAACCTGATCTGTGAAACTAATCATCTTTCCATGTGACCCTTTGTCCAAACCAATCTCTCCTACTGCAGCTGAAGGAGTGGAATCCAAGAACTTTCTTAAAGAACTGAACCAGTAGGGGGTCCGATCCATGATAAACCATGGGTGGAGCCCAAAGGAAGGGATTATAGAAGGATGGTTGTCGCTCATCTGCTTGACCAAGTGCCAGTCTTTCTCGGAGACCCCATTGACGGCAAAATGAACTATCCCATTCTCTAGAGCTGTCTTGATAAGCTTGGGGGCGTGGTTAAAGATTTTGGGGTCTTGTAGATGACAGTGAGCATCAAAGAGTTTTATCATGGCTTAAGATCAAACACGGCAGCACGTTCTCGTTATATGATGGATTTCCCCCCTGTTTCACGAGTAGTGTTTTATGACAAATTAGGGCTTAATTGGAAAATTAAGACATCATGATCCAAGCAATCTCATGATATTGTACAAACCACGAGATACAAAGAAGTTATGGGTGATGATGTATGAACTATTCCCTAATCCCTCCATATGGCAGTAAGTAGAATATGGAACATCTGATATCATGAACAATCCATTACCACCATGGAAGCTTAACAAGACCAATCTTCAACAAATCCATAAACATTTTAACCCAAATTACTCCATGCCATAATCAAAAGAAAAATTGAAGACATACATACGTGCATAAAAACCCATCTCCTAAACCAAACTTTTACGAAACTTGAAAAAAAGGAAGAAATACGTGCAAGTCAAAGGAGAAATAAGGAAGAAATGATACCTAGCGATTTTAAAATGAGAAATTCCCAAACATTTGCTGTCTTTCTGCTTGATAATAGCCAGCCACACACAGGGCCCAAAAGTAGGTTTTAAATGAGAAGAAGGATTGTGGAACAAGATGATGAGGTGAGTCATCCTTTTTTTTTCTTCTCGATTTAACCCTTCCAAATAGAGATCGCCAAAAATCGGCCCGGGACCGGTAAAGACCGGTTATGGGACCGAAAACCGGAACCGGTTCTCATAACCGGTCTTGGTTTTTGGTAGTTTTGTGGGACCGGGACCGGGACCGGTTATGGGACCGACTATGGACTGACCCGGCCCGTCCCCAAAATTCAATTAATTTTGTAAATAAATGTATTTTTAAATAATTTTATAATATATTTTTATAAGAAAACGTAATTTTAATTATATTAAAACGCATTTTTAAAGTGTATTTTAGTGACCAAATTGTAAATTTTATAATGTATTAAAAATATATATCATTAAAAAATTAAAAAAAAATCTTATTTTTTAATGCAAGGACCGGTTGGGACCGGGACCGGGACCGAGACCGGAGGCCCATAACCGGTTATGAAGTACCTTGACCAGTCCTATCATTTTCTACCGGGACCGGTTACGCCGGGACCGGGTATGGCCGGTTATGAAAAAGGTTAGGACCGATTGGGACCGGCCTGGTCCGGGACCGGTTTTTGGCCATCTCTACTTCCAAAGACCATCTTCTTTCCATTTTCTACAAATAATTAAAGCCAAGGTAATGTATTACCTTAAAAAACCGTAGGACCGTTCAAACCGTCTGAACCAAGTCAAACCAGACCGTTTTTAGCGGTTTGAACGATCAGACGGTTTGGTCTGGTTTGGAAGATAGTAAAACTGGACGACCCGGTCTGGTCTATGATCTGGAACCTTTTTTGGACGGTTTGGACCAAACCGGCCGTCAAACACACACACACACACACACACACACATATATATATATATATATATATATATACACACACACGTATGTATACTTTAGTATTAGCAAACCCAATTTTTTTAACTTATGGGCTATGGGCCAAATATATCCCTAAACCTAACATAAAACCTAACATAAAACCTAATCAAATCCAAATGAATAGGCGCCTAAAAATCCCTAAACCAGTAAACATATCGACAAATTTGACATTGACGGTCTCCGAATTTTAAAATCCCTCAAGAACTCCATCTATCTATCGATCTTTCCAAATCCATTGTTTGATTTCGACGTACATCATCAAGACATCAACCGTGATTCAACTCTTTCCTTCAACTATTCGATTCCAAACTCAATCCATTCAAGTGATCGGTCATTGGCGCACATCGTCAGGTCTCCAAGTCTGTTAGTCTCCAAATTCACATTTGTAAGTCATGTTTTATGAGCTCTTTTTTTTACTTTAAGAAATTTCCTATATTGTTTTGTTAAAATGAATATTTAATCTAAAACTCTAAATTATATATGTTTTTTAAAGTTTAATTTTTAAAGCCCATTAAAGACCCAAACCACATAAACCAGTCAGATCAGACCGCGTTTTCGTGTTCTGGTTTGACCGGTCTGCGCACTTGATGTTAAACCGTTCGGTTTGAAAATTTTATAAACCGCCATTGAAGTTTGGTTTATCGTCTGAGATGTTAACCATCCAAACCGGACTGCGAACACTCCTACCACACGGAGCGGAATTGGAGCTTCAAATAAAATAGAATATAAACCTGGTTGTCAAAACAGGGTTCTAAGGGTGCGTTTGGTACGCAGACAGGACAGGACAAGACATGACAGGACAAAACAAAACAGTTGTTCAGCGTTTGGTAAGACATGACAGGACTGGACATAACTGGTTAAAATGACCAATTTACCCCCAGTGAGCTGTTTAGTGTTTTTTTCACTAAATAATCAATATAAATGTTAACAAATACGGTGTGCAAAGTATAACTTACATCAAACCACTACTACTTGTAAAAATACATTTGCAAAAATACATGATTTCATAATCAACTAATGATATATGAAAAAGGTAAATATCATATAAGCATCAATAATTCATTATCGAAGCAAGAATCCATACTAAGAAAAAAAAAACTACTACCAACAAGCGCACAATCAATTAAAATAGATTAAATATCAAATAGTAAATAAAATATAAGCATCAAGAAAACAATTTGGCTAGTGATCCCAGAAAACAAAAGAATTCACCTATCACCTGTACAATCACTCATGTAAGATCAAAATCGAATATTTATTATTATGATCAAGGGAAAACACACAAAACTCATCGAAAACAACAAATTGCATGCATGAACCTTACGCAATATGTTTGACGGTGATAAAATCAAGAAAACAATTTATGTAATTTATTAAATTATAATAGAATGATTATTTTTTATAACAAAATATATCATTTGAAGTTTTCGTCAAAACAATTAAAATGATACCAAATAAAAAGTTTATGTGGTTTTCTATTTTTATTTTTATCTCTTTTCTACATTATTTTTTAATATTAGTATATAATAAATTACATAAATTAATAAAAATAAAGAAACCGTATAAAAATAATATTTTGAGGACAGTAAATGAAAGTTTAAGAAACATAAAATACAATAAATAAAATTTAAAGAATGAATAAAATGTAAAAGAGAGACATATTTGATGTTTTAGAAGAGAATTAAGTTTTATTGGTAAAATATAAGTTTGTTCCACCTTGTTCCACCCTGTTCCATGGGGTAGAGGTGGAACATGCCTGTTCCACTTTGTTCATGTATGTTCCCTATAAAATTCATGCCAAACGTGGGACATAAATCCCTGTCCTGTTCTGTCATGTCCCTGTCAGTATACCGAATGCAATTGAACCAAGTCCAAAAGCAGAAGCAGTTGGCCTAGTAGAAATTTTTAGTCCATGATATTTAAAATTTTAGTCCAGGTATAAATTAATTAATACCAAATAAGATAATACAAACATTTATTTTAAATGATTAAAATTAGCAAGTTGTTGGTATTAAGTATGATTTTTATAAGTAAACTAAGGAAATGTTACCGTGCTTCGCACGTCGTTGTTACTTAATGAAGAAAAACATCTAGAAGTTTGAATTAAATATAAAGTGGTAAAAGTATCACAATAATTATGTTAGAATTGTATGTTCAAATGTTTGGTTTTGTAAGCATAAAGAGAGTTGCAATATACTCTTTTAGGGAAAATGAATATGTAGTGTGAAAGAATTTTAGGTTGTGATGGAATATGTGATTTAAGGAATTAATAAATGAGAAGTTTAGAGATCATATTTTGTTATGAGCACGCTATTAAATTATGAAATGGTATAAAACACATTTGGTAGATGTAGAACTAACATTCATGCTTTTTATTGTCTTATTATAAAAATAATATAGTCGTGCAATATGTTGCATGTGAGAAATAAAAGTATAATGTATAGATAATTATTGTCAATTCGGTATATTATTAGGTGAGAGAGCAACATATTACTTTCTACCATGAACAATCCAATAAACTTGTGACATGGTTGAAAATACGTTGCTAGATGACAAACTCTTTTTCCTGTAGAAAAAGTCATTAAATGAATAGTATTAGTTTATATATTGTGTTAGTGTTATAGCTAAGCAATATTTGATAGTTACTATAAATCTTGAGGATGTTATACCTGAAGATCATGAATTGTTGAAGAAATAGTTCGGAAGACTTCCTTGAAAACAATATTTTTAATGAAGGTTCGATCTTCAATCTCATTGTCGGCATTTAGTATGACCAACCCTTCACGTGATGTAACTCGTGATACAACAACATACAGTTGGCCATGTGTAAATACTTGGTTCGGGAGATACAAGCCAACATGGCGTAGTGATTGTCCTTGACTTTTATTTATTGTCATGGCAAAGCATGTTGCCAAAGGAAGCTGACGCCTATTGAGCTTGAATGGCCATCTTGTTTCATTTGGGGACATGATTATTCTTGGAATCGTGACATTTTTGCCAACATGTGTTCCAGAAATAATATATGTTCTGATGGACCATTTTACCAATTTTGTAACAATCAATCTTGTGCCATTGCATAACCCCTCTGATTGATTTAGATTTCTAAGAAGCATTGTTGGAGCTTCTTCTTTTAGTTCAATGTCATGGTTTGGAACACCATTAAATTTTAAATTGTGTAAAAATTCTGATGGATACAAAAGATCTTCTTCATTAGTTTGTACACTTGCTTTGCACACATTGTCTGAACTGAGGTAGTTGACACATTCTCCTGGTAGCATGTCCATAATTATGTTGTTCAAATCATGAACCATTTCATTTTTTAGTGTCAATATCGCTCTTTCTTTCAAATATGCAGGGTTGTCAAAATTATCCAACAACAATGGATACACAACTTGAATCAGGCATTGAATTGGGTCCTCCCATTGGTTTAGGGCGATATCAAATGGAAGTTTGATTAATTCTCCTTGAATGTCATCGTACAGACATCTCCTAGCTGCAACAACCACTTTTCAAAAGAATCTATTTTACAAGCTTCAGATTCTGGTATATCTCCAGTATATAGCCTCATATTTTGGTTAAGCTTAAGAACATTGAAATATGGCCATAAGTAGGATGAACTGAGAGAAGCATCAATGATATCACCTTTAGTTCCTTTTGGAACAACGAGCAAAATTTGACGAAAATCCCCACCACAAACAACAGTAAGTCCACCAAAAGGTTTTTCATTGCTATTGGGAAATCTTGTTGTAAATATATCTCACAAACTTCTGTCCAAAGCTTTAAAACAAATTTTTTGTGCCATTGGTGCTTCATCCCAAATGATCATAGAGATTCTCATGAGAAGTTCTGCCAACGCTGTACCATGTCGAATCTCACAAGTTGATTCTGCCGTGACATTGAACGGGATATGAAAGCGAGAATGTGTCGTTCTAACGTTAGGTAAATAAAGCTGCAATCCCCGAAGTT